GAAGCACAACTCAGTTTGTATTTCACTTGGATGGTTTTCATTAAGGTCTGTTTTCTCTGTCCTTTCACTCTGGTTTTGAATGAGTGAATTCTGTTGCTTTGACGATGAGTTGCATTGGGCAGTCATGCCTATATGAGTCTAAAAGTCTTTCCACAAGGTTATATATATGATGTTCTTCTGTGAAGAACTTAATGAAGGCAAAGCTGTTTGTTGGGTAGAATTATTTTATCTTGCTACTATGTGGGTCTGGAGCAGGGTCACATTGCCCAAGACTACAGACCACCTTGCTCAACCAACTCGACCTGCCAAGCTCTAATATGGTTATTGCACTGTCCTAGGTGACCCAGAGGCCAAGCTCACATAAGATGAGATGTCTTTTCAGGATTAGCTTTGTCCCAAAGGATCCCATTGATCTTTTAAGAAGAGATCCAGTTGCTTTTGAATATCTCTATGTACAGGTAAGTGAAAGCATGGCCACTGTTAGTGTAAAGGAGAATAGATAGTTGGACTCGGTGTATATATAGATTTATATCTTCACATAGAAAAAGGTGGCTGCAGTAAATCCTGGTTTTTATTTCTGCTGTATAAAGCCAATGAATGCACTTGGGGAATGTGCAAATCTTCATCATCTGCAGAGTCCCCTTCCTTCATAAGTCTCTCCAAATAGTAATGCTTTGATATCTTTCCGAAAATATATTTGGCTTTACAAAAGAGTGAAGCTGAAGTAATTGCTAATACTTATTTTTCGTACTGTAATAACGGACAGAAATGATGTCTGAAAAGGAACTTCCAGTAAAATGAATGAGAAAACTGATGTACAAGCGATGTGGTTCTCCTGGGTATCTCACCAGGTAGAATCCTGCTATCTTGAGTCCAGATACACTGATACCCTCCCAGCACTCTTTGTGAAAGAGGATTACTGTGCTCCCTGGGAAGGATGAAGAGAGCTTAGTTCAAAATCTCCTGCCTTCTGCCCTTTGGCAGAGGTACGTGTGTTCTTCAGAAGTGCCCATATGCTGGTGAACATCTGACACCTCTGAGAGCGACAGTCCTACCTTCAGCATGGTCCTGCTTCTTCTGAGTTTAGGGTTACTCTTGATGTAATGTCAATTTAAAAAAAATAAAGAAAAAGTACTATAATTTATTTTTAGTGCAAGATTTTTTAACTTGATGCTCCCTCTACTGGTTTTTTGGCAGAGCTGTAATGACGTGGTTCAGGAAAGATTTGGACCAGAACTGAAATATGACATTGCCCTGCGGTTGGCTGCATTACAAATGTATATTGCAACTGTGACCACCAAGCAAACTCAGAAAATCTCCCTCAAATATATAGAGTAAGTTGAGAATGCAGTGTGTTCTTTAAAAGTGAACCATTAGGAGTAACTCATAGATTCTTTAAGGTTGTTTCTTTAATATGTCTATATGTACGCACCAATTTCAGCTTCATTCTTTTGTCGCTGAAATTGGTTCAGGTATGTTAAGAGCTGTAAGTATAGACCTTTTGGTTCATTTACCTTTTGGTCATCTGTTTAGGCACATGAAATAGCCTATAAATGTAAATAAGCTTAACTCATTTGCTTTCAGTGATTTAATGGTCAGATCTAATTTTATATGGTCTGAATCCTAAGGTTTTAGTAGAGATTCTTATAGTAAGATTCAGATGATTTCTTGGTTCAGAAGACTGTAGGGTCTTATATTCCATTTGTAAGATTTCTTAAATACAGAAGTATCCCAGTAGGCACCTGGTTAGTCTACTACGTGAATATGTAACCAGAAAGAAACAGAAAATTTCCAAAATGCAACTGTGTGTACAACGGTTTTAAATAAAAACAAAACAAAACACGAAAACCCAAACCTCAAAACATGTTGCTGTTGCTTAATTTACTTGCAGAATGGAAATAATTACTGTTGCACACTCAATCTTGTAGAGTTTATCCACCTTACTGAAGATCATGTCATGTTGTATCCTATTAATGAATCTGCAGAAGTAATTACTTACAAGTGAAGAGTCAGTCTTCTACCAAAATGAGTGCTTCAAGCAGAAAAGAAAATTCCATAAAAAGAGGGCAACTGGTTGTTTTGAGGAGGAAAAAACCCCACACAAAATAGAAGTAACAAAGACAATGGCTATCTGGTTTGCATGTTCTAAAAAACCCTAGAAAATAAAATGAAACTTGGCATTATGTTGTTAAATCATTTGCGATATTAATTCTGTAGTGGTACTTGCCTGTGTGGTTAAGTGCTATTTAGCAATACGGCATAGACTTTAAACATAAAAACTTAAAACTTCTTTTCTGAATGGCATGATGTAAGACATGGAAGGGATGCAAGAGAGATTATATATCATTTCAAAGCATCTTTTGCGTAAGTAATACAGAGTTTGAATATAGAAAATAATGTGTTATTGCACAGCTCTGGACTTAATCAACTCTCCTTCAGTTTTCAGGTGTTCATTCTCTTGGCATCATAGTTACCAGTCTTTAGATAAATAATCATCACAGGAATGTGAAATTAAATATATGCCTTTTATTACAGAAAAGAATGGGGATTAGAGACTTTTCTTCCATCTGCTGTGCTGCAAAGCATGAAAGAAAAGAACATAAAGAAAGCACTTTCACACCTTGTCAAAGCAAATCAAAACCTAGTTCCTCCGGGTAAAAAGGTACTACATTTGCATCTTAATGGAAAATATGTTTTAAAGAACAGAAAGGGTAGCGTGCATGGGAAACATTTAAAGTCAATGCTTCGGAGAAATACCTAGCCATTATATTTTCAGAGATATAACTTTAGGTGCTCGGTACAACATAGCCAAGAACAATTAAAGCTAATTAATTATACCCCAACTAAACTATCTTTTTATCTTGAGAATGCCAGAAAACTGGTTATTAATACTTGATGTATGATAAAGATATATATTTTTAAATTCATTTAGTGCTTCCTATTAATGGCAGACTTGTTAGGAAAGTTATTGTTCTTTCTCTGATGCTCTCATCTGAGCCACATTAACCTATGGGCCTGACATAAATGCCGTTTTTCACGATTGGTTTCCGTTATGCTGTAAACATAGATCTAACTGGATAGATGATGATCCTTACACTAAAGGACCCCCTCTCTTGCTGTTGTAAAATGCTTTTCTTAGCACAAAGCTTTCACTTCAGCTGGGAAAAACATGTAGAAGACAACGTCTCTGAGAAACGCCTTTGTTATGTTCATACAGCTGAGGCTGGTTTTAGACACCATAATGAGGTTTCTTTATGCAAGTCATCTAGTACCTCTTTGTAGTCAATGGAGAGAAATAGGCACTTCTAGCGAGCGATTCATCCCATCCCACAGTAGGGACCAAAAATAGGTCAGATCACTTGTGTCCTAGAAATGCCTATTTCTCTCCATGCACTATAAAAAGAACCTAAGAGTGACTAGTTGAGACATAAAATGAGTTGAATCCTGCTCCATGACACCTTGTTTCTGAACAAAAGAACCCCAAAACACCTGGTGCCTGAGCTAAGGTTCATTGTGATCAACAGAAATCCTGCTTGGAGGTTTCAGATCACATCATGACTGTGGACGTAGCTCTGTGTGTTTGACCTGGGGTGCTTGGGAAGACAGGCCACCTTTTTGACTGAAGCACTGCACACCTCCTGTACTGCTGAGGCTAAAGCTGAATAATGCCGATTACTTACTGTTTATGCTGGTAGTGTAAGCTTGGGTTTATTTTGGAAGCCATCAGTGCTGCAGGCATTGCAGGTGGTGACAGTGGCACACAGTATCAGTTCTTGGTTAGAAGAGAGGTCGCAACAGTCCCTTCCTGCAGCAAGCAGACTTCATTGGCTTTGCTTCATTCTTTTCTGATTTGAGTTTTGGAAATACGTTGTGTGCCCACCTGCTTCTTTAGCAGGTAGGTCTCAGAAACAAAGCTTCTGAGCTCATCGTCACCTGCTGTCTTGCTTGTAGGTATGAACACAGGAACTGATTTCCTTCTGGGGTCTTCTCTCCCTCCACATGAAGGGAAGCCTGTCATTCTCAGGATTCTTCTGTTTTTCACAACCCCTGTGTTATTTCTCCAGCAACTGAACACCTAGTAAAGGGAAGGGGAAAGCATTCCCACTAGTTGCTCTGCGCCAGGTTCATTTCCTCCATGGTGTCTAGAAAATCCTCAGTATTGGGGCTCTTAAAATGCTGTTCAAGATCAAATAAAATTTTGAACTAGAAATCTAGTGGCCAAAATGAGAAGAGCAAATGAGATGAGCTTGTTTCCTCTTATCTTTTAAAAGTCCAGATGTAAGGATTTATACCAGGGAGGTATGAGGTGTTTGGGTGAAATGAACTGTTTCTTGTTTCCAGTCAGTCTCATAAAATATTTCCAAGTTGTTTCTTTTCAAGTAGGTAGTTAAAGCTCAGAGAAGAAAAAGGAGAAAAATTATGACATATATTGCATGATATGACCATATGTATTGGTGTACTGTATTTGGCTTTCAGATCTATTCCCTACTAAATATAGTGGAAGAGTTTATTTTAAAAAATGGAAAATACAGTAATGAGGTGGAATAATATGCCATATGCCGCAAGTACCTAGCAAAATGTAATACACATAGCTGACAAAAGCAATTTCTTTGTTCTCTTTCTCTGTATAGGTACATAAATGTTTAAGAACTGATGGTGATTATGAATGGAAACCTGCTGTCTAGCCTTGAAATCCCTCAATGCACAGATATTTAATCCGAGTAGTTTTAACCTTTTCCCTTTGTTGGAGCAGTTACCATGTTCGTGCAGCGCTGTGATCTGCCCATACCCAAGTCCTCAGTGCGTTTTAACTAAACAAGCAAGATCTGAATTTTAAGAATGAAACTGTTTCTCCTCATCTGAAACTCAAGCATCTAATGATTTAGTTTCAGGCTCTGAAGAGCTGTTATTGAAGTCTGTTCTCCGTACACAAATACATTTTCTTTCTGAAATTGATAATGTGTCGATTTCCACCACTACCTCTTACCCCTGTTTCTCCTTCCTCAGCTATCTGCTCTGCAAGCCAAGGTGCATTATTTAAAGTTCCTCAGTGATCTACGACTATATGGAGGGCGTGTTTTCAAGGCAACACTAGTGGTAATATTTCTCGTGAAATAGTATCTCTCTTCTCTTGATTTTTTAATCCAAATATCATTTTGCAAAAGCTGGACCATATAATTTTCTTCAGAAGCTTAGGTTCTCTTCATACACTGTTAAAAATAATTGTTAAATTGAACCAAATCACTTTTTTTTTCTTTTAATCTTGAAAATAACAGTCCTGTTATAATTTGAATTTTTACTGGGGATTTGGAGATAGGTTAGCACCCTTTTGGCAAATAGCATGATCCCATTAACTGTAGAATACTCATATTATTAGTCTGGGAAACTCCTGATGACAAAGATGTTCTTATAACAGAAGCATCTGTCTGTCTATCTTACTATCCATTTAAAAACTAAAAGTACAGTCAATTTCAAGGAGCAGATTCCTTTACTTTTTGTTTTTAATTGTGTATGTTCTTCTGTATTGAATCTTCTTAGGAAAACATAATAATCTTTAACTCAGAAATGCCATGCAAAGGTAGCCCCATGAAAATGAAAGGCAGTGATGATTTTTGTCCCTATGTGGTGCCTGTCAGGTTTTTTACTTTTGCTTTTTTTATTTTTCTGCTAAAGCAGGGAGAAAAGCGTTCAGAAGTGACTCTGTTAGTCGGGCCACGGTACGGAATCAGTCATGTGATAAACACCAAAACAAACCTGGTGGCTCTCCTGGCAGACTTCAGCCACGTGAACAGGATTGAGATGTTTACAGAAGACGAAAGCAGCGTTAGAGTTGAGCTGCATGTCTTAGATGTAAAGGTAAGTTTGTTGTTGATTTATATTGATATAATAACTTTAAATAAAGTTTTTGTCTTTATTTGATTATTTGATCAAGCTGTACTGTTCTGAATGTCTTCATGCCAATAATATTCCGAGGGTGTGCATTTAGCCTTTTTTTTTTGGTCAGAGTGCATGTAGAGTACGGCTTGGGCACTTGAGGGCCTGCAGTGTGCCAGACTGGTGCTTTGCAGCACTTGTATTCTATTCTGATTTTTCACTTGGCTGAACTCAGATGACTTGCTTTGTTGTTGTCTTCCTTGATTTCCATGGTGAGAAGAGGTGATGATGAAATTGGCCTTTTTTTGAAGCTCCTTGGGCCCCTAGAAGCTCCTTCTAGTGTAACAGACAATATTATTACCATTAGAGAATCTCCAGCTGCATCAGACCAGTGTCCACTGTGATCCAGTGTTTTATCTCCAAAGTTCACTGCAAGTAACCTCATAGCGGTTACCAATGAAATAAACTGTAAAAAGGCAAGGTATTTTCTTAACCTTTATAATTCCAGTTAAGTGTTTTACCCTATACAATATATTCATAGATGCTCTTCATCTACCTATAGTCATTTAATTTCTCTTGAATCCCCCTTTAACACTGTGTCTGTGGCATCTAGTGGCAATAAGTGGAGATTTGTGTATTATATTGTCCTGATTCTTCTTGACGTGTTTTCTATTTGGTTTTGAAAGGATAGGCTTCATAGACTATCTAGAGCATTAATCAGGATAATCAGAGATTGGAGGAAGAGTTCTCATTATACTTGAAATTTAAACTTTATATGAAAATAAATGGAGCCTAACGATTCTTCTTACCCAGCTATACACAAAAAATGTACACAAGGAATATTTTACTAGCTTTTGCTTTGAATGCCTTAGGTTTATTGACCTGGAACTGTTTCCCTGTATTTACGTAAATGAAAAAAACATTGCCGTAAATAAATCCAGATGCTCTTTGGCAGCAACTTAAGAGAATTGTACAGGTTGTTGGACACAGCACCTCTTTCATCTTACTTAGCAATGGTAACATCTGAGGATCTCAGGCTATAATGGCATTACTGTGCTAAATTCAGAGCCCTCTTGTGAGAAAGCTGTTATCCACTTTTTAAAGAAGGAGAAAGTAATATAGAAATTAAATCCATCCCATCTGCTCATATGTAAAATGCAGCACTGTATGCCATAGTATTATATATTACCATGATATTCAGTTGGTTTATATTATAATACTGGTACTGTCTTATTGCAAACCATGTATATCCCCTTGCATTTTGACACGTGCAATCTTACACACAGAGAGACTGGCCTAATATTAATATTACAAATCTAGCAGGCTCTGGGTGGAATTTGACAAAAAATTGCCTCTCTGTGGAGCACAAGTAGGTGTTGTCACTGTATCGTATGTAGGAGATGCAGGCACACACAGGGAGTTATTCTCAAGTGATGTTTTCATCCCTTGGCTTACCCTAAGGTAGCAGGTTCCTATATCCAGATTCTAAATATGCCAATATATATGTCATATATGCAACTATTTTCTTAATGAATAAATGAATAAGCAGTTTGGATTTTTATTTTATTTTTGCTTCTTTTTAATGTATTCTCAAGCATGTATCACTTGGCAGAAGCAGGCAATAAAAGTTCAGCTGTCACTGTTCAGCAGATTAACAGTAGTTCACAGCACTGTTTTCAGCAATCTGAGATTTCTGTGGAGATCATCCGTTTCTGTCAATCACTGCAGAAAATTTGAGATCAAAATAGCATTTCAAATGTTAGTTTTTAGTAGTCATTCAAAAGAACAGAGATTAATTAGCCCATTGTAGGTTTAATAATTTACAGTTAACTTTTATAGCTATAGTTAAATGCTTTGAAGGAAGCATGTATTGAATAGAACCTCAAACTGTAGCACGAAATACTTCAAAGAACAAAAAAGCATAAATTTTTCAATGTTGCTGAAAACTGTTCATGCAACATTCAGGGCATCTGGGGCATTTTGGCCTAAGATGCTGCAGCACAGGCATTTGAAAAATTATCAGACCTTTTGTGGGTTTGGTAATAAGCTCTGATCATCAGTTATGTTTTGGCCACAGCCTCCATCAGAATCAGTTGTCTTTTAACTAGTAAGTGGTCGAGTAAGTTGGATAGCCATCTTTGTTGCATGTAATGTTCCTCCTGGAACAAATGATGCAGGTCCCTGCATCTGTCTTGTGACAGTGGGCTCTGCGTACTAAATTATGATAAATTGTCACAAATGTCCACATAGCTATGAGTCACTACAAACTGTGAGTGATAAGATGGGTTGTCTATGGTGTAATTTCTGTCTATGTATAATGGTAAGGGCTTCATTTTTATTTCCTCTCTAGGAGTTGTAGAGGCTAGCCACCTTAAAATAAATTTGAGAAGAGCCTTTTGGTGTTAAAAGCTACAAAGACATGAACAAAAAGTTTTAGACAAATGCATTTATATACTGTGGCAAAAGAAAAGGGAATTAAAGAAAGTATTTTTCATATGGATGTCTTGGGTTCAATGCCTGCTAGCCTGGCGGCCATAGTTTTTCAAAGCTCTGAGATCTCTCATTTTTCTCTTAGGTCTGACTCTTTTTTTAATCTAAGTGCTTTGAGTTTATTTTCTTTGCTGATCTCCCTTCTGAGATCATTTCTCTTTGTATCTGTTTATCTGCTTATTTTTTCATCGCTTGTCTTTTCAGTAACGCCAGCCCACAAACACTGAAATCTTTTAAGCTGTCATTGTAATATTCACTGTCACTGCCATGTAATGACAGCTTTAACCTCACTACTGTATTTTCTGAACTTGAACTTTCCCTGACTCTGTTTGCTTCACATGTTTTGCTTCTTTACCTGTGCTTAGGGCACCTCATTTTCTGGGAACCTGCAGATTCCCATACTACTGCAAAACCCCAGTGCCTAATGTACCAGGTGCTTAGCCCTTCGCAGTTTCACAGCAACAGTAAACAGTCCTTTTGTGAGAATAAAGTCTATAGAAGAAAAAGATGAAGCAAGAGTCTCAAAATAGTTAGCTTCACCCAGAAAGAGAGCAAAATTAGCTCTTAAAATATCCAGTTGGATTTCTACCTTACTGCAACTTCAGTCTTTTCTAAATGTTTGACATTGATATTGGCGGTGAGGAAAATAAGTTCTCGTGTGTATTTTTCACTGTGGTGTTTGTGATGTAATTCCTTTTGCTTCCATGTAGTAGTATTGTCAGCAGGTAAACAGATTGAGGAGGAACAGCCTTAACCAAGAGTTGGTTGTATTCTTCTTAGCCTATTACTCTACTGATGGAGTCGTCAGATGCAATGAATCTTGCTTGCCTAACGGCTGGATACTACAGACTGCTGGTTGACTCAAGGCGCTCAATATTTAACATGGCCAACAAGAAAAATACAGGGAGCCGAGAAACAGGTATTCATTGCACAGTATGTTAACAATGGTCCCATGTATAAAGCAGAAGCTACCTTAAGCTAGTGCACCTCCAGATAAATATAAGGCTATGCCAAATGAGATCTGATTGCTGGCTCAGACCTAGCACAACAATATATCAGTTCAGCTTTATGATGTTCTAATATTCAGCCTATGATAGCATCTTAATGGTAAAATAAACCAGATGATTAATTTCTTTCATACTGTAGTAAAACAGATGCATGCTCCCTGTGAATGTTATTATTTTATATGCATATATCTTTTGTAAGAATACATATGGTGTTGGAGAAACCAGCTGGGGATTTGGTTTTGTGTTCCTGTTCCTGGAATAGCATTTGTACATATTTGAGGTTTAGTTTTGTACTATAGTACAAAAGTGCCTGTTAAACTTTAGGTCATTAAATCAACAGGAATTCAACTTAGAGCAGAGGTGAGTTTGAAAGTGCTTTTCTAAAGTGTTTTATGACCCAGCTGTCCTATTCCCAAGCTTAATTGCTCGGTATTAACAAGTCATTGTTTAAAAATTACATTACTTAGCTCTTTGATTTCACAATGTTGACTTTATTTCACCATGTTATAGGAACTGAAAATAGAGGGAAGCATAATCTTCTTGCTTCTGAGTGGAATTGTATACCAAAAACTACCACTTTCCTGGCTGAAGGAGATCAAGAGACTCAGATGTCCTTTGCTGATCCAAAACAGAAGACTGTAGATGCTTCTGAAAGTCTGTTATGTCAAAAAGAACACAGACATCTGTACATAGAAAATGCTTATAATTCAGGTGGATTTGATCAGCATCTAGCTAAGCAAAGTGATCCCACTGAAGCAGAAGAAAGCAGAAATTTTAATCAGCCTTCACTGCTGTCACTCTCAGGTTTGGAATCTAGCAAGAAAGCACAGGATTCCCCCAGGGGAGCAAAAGTTTCCTTTATATTTGGAGATCACAACTTGGATGGTATCAATCCCCAGACTCTTGGCTATGAAAGGCTTTTGGATGAAAGTCCAGAAGTACTAGAAAAACAAAGAGCCATTTATATTAGTAATGCCAATGACATTAAAGGCCTGGAGTTGGCACCAGATGCTGAAAGCATTCAGTTTGCTACAAATTCTGTTTATGCAACTATAAACGAAGGTAAAATATTTGGAGCTGCGGAAGGGATAGAAGAGCCTTTGCTGCATGATATTTGTTATGCAGAAAACACAGATGATGCTGAAGATGAAGATGAAGTAAGCTGTGAAGAAGACATTATGGTAGGAGAAATCAATAGGCCTGCTCTTCTCAGCCTTTCTGGTTCTAGTGATGACATTATTGATTTGACTTCACTTCCACCTCCAGAAGGTGATGATAATGAAGATGATTTCCTATTGCATACCTTAAACATGGCCATTGCTGCTCCTCCACCTGGCTTCAGGGACAGTTCAGATGAGGAAGACTCTCAGAATCAAGCAACGCAGCCTAGAGACAACAAGGAGCAAGCCAGTAATGTAGGCAATGATGACATTCCAGTGTCACTTATCGATGCTGTCCCTACTAATACAGAGGGGAAGTGTGAGAAGGGCATAGATGATGCTGTAGTCTCTACACTTCAAGCACTAGAAGCTTTGGCTGCTTCAGAGGAACAGCAGACGAATGACAATTCAGGTTCTTTCACCATAGTTACATTTATTCATTGAAAGTCATTCCATCTCATCCATTTAGCTTTGGAAATACGCCATTTCATGAGTGTTGTTACTGGTTTTTTGGTTTTCCTTTTTTTTTTTTTTTGCCATCATTTTTCATACATCATATTCCATATTATTTAATGGAACTACCATTATGTTACTAAACTACTTGTCCCGGGAACTGTGCAATAAAGTCAGAGTATTCTTACAAAGCATATTTTTGTCTGTAACACACCCCCTTTGCTTGTCACTTATGCAGGTGCTTCAGCTGCTGTCATTTAATTGACTCTTATTTTTTGTGGCTTGCAGGTGTAGCTATCCTGCGAGCATATAGCCCTGAGTCATCTTCAGATTCTGGCAATGAAACAAATTCCTCTGAAATGACTGAAAGCTCTGAACTAGCCGCGGCACAGAAACAGTCAGAAAACACTGCACGTGTGTTTTTGACCACAAGTGAAGGCTACCAACCCCTTGTGGAAGAGCAGACTGAATTTCCCATCGCTAAGAATCAGGCTGGAGGGCCAGGCATGAAGCCCTCACAGCCTTTGGCTGGTCGTCAGGCTGCAGAGCTACAGTCAAAAGTTGTGCCTTCAAAGCAGATTCTTCATTCGGATAACATGGAAATGGAGCCAGAGACCATGGAAACAAAATCTGTCACTGATTATTTTAGCAAATTGCACATGGGATCCTTGGTATACTCTTGCACTAGTAAAAGGAAAAATAAGATGACAGACAGCGAAGTAAAAGCACCTTCTGATGGCAGTGCTACTGTGAAAAAGCAACAGGGAACTAAGAAAGCAGAGGCTGATGAAGATCTAAAAGCTAAATTTGGAACTCTTTCAGCAAGAGACAGTCAGCGCCTAAGCACTTTTAATGTGGAGAGAACCGCCTTTCGCCAAAGGTGGTACGCTGCCGATGATGGGGCAGCAGATAAGCCAAGCCCAGAAACAGTGAATGGGAAGACTTTTCCAAGAGTTCCTGTCCTTGGTAAAACAGAAACTGACTGTAAGGATGAAATGAATCCTGAGGTGGATCAGGATGATACCTCGGGGCTTAGCCAAGGTGAAAACTTTCTGTCAGATATGACTCCCATGTCTTCAGCCAAAGACCTAAATGACGCAGAAGATACTGATTTATCTGCAGATGACCATCCTTCAAAGCTTCCAGAAGCTGAGCAGAGCGTGGCTAGACTTTGTGAATATCACTTGGCGAAGCGTATGTCATCTTTGCAAAGCGAAGGCCATTTCTCACTGCAAAGCTCTCAGTGCTCTTCAGTGGATGCAGGATGCAGCACAGGCAGTAGCACATGTGCTACCCCCGTTGAATCGCCTCTTTGTACCTCTGATGTTAAGCACATTATCTCTGACCCATCAATGAAAGGCATTGCCTATATTCCAGCAGATGAAAGAGCTCCCATTCTTCCAAACCATGGAACGACATACAAGGACCTGCACCAGCAGCCTGAAGCTGTGTGTCACAGAATGACAGTGCCTGTCGTACATTCAGCAATTAATGCTGAAACGTTGTTCGGCACTTTGAGAGAAGGATGTCATCGGATCCCCAAGATAAAAGAAACTACAGGTACAGCAGTAATAAAGCGTTTCTTATGTTTGTTTTTAAAGCTATGTGTTAAGGTTGAGGTCTAGATGTGACATTTGCATTATCTTTGCCTGAAACTGCAGGTCAAGCTGTAGCAGTGGGATTAGACCTTCGGTGTATCTATTCATTTTACTTGTACTTATGAGCTGTTTACAAAGATAATTTTTTTTCAAAAAATTCTCATTACAGTTAAAAATATATGGGGGGACGTTAATGGAGAGGTCTTTCTTCCACTCTTTGGAAGCCTCTCCAAAATCCATAGTCACTTCAGTTTCAGGATACTTGTTAGATTATAAGATGACTTCACAAGGTATATTAATGTAGGAGAGAAAAACTCTTATTCATTTATTACGTATCTTACATGCTATTTTAGCAGACTGTCAAAAACATGCCAGTATGAATAAAAAGCTCTAAATGTAAGGATGAGAAAATGTCACTATCTTATTAAGCATGTATTTACTTCACCATGTGACAGTAGGTGTTCCCTTAAAGAATAATTTACATAAGAATCATTACCACATTTTTAAGTTCCAGTTTCAAGAGATTTTATAAACTTAGTGTTGTAAAAAAAAAAGCAGTTTTTCAGAGATAGCATTGGAAGTTCTTTCAGTCGGGTTTTAAATGTTTCCCTCTTCCTGGGTTGCAACCCCCATGTAGCACTAGTGTGTGGATGCATGAAAATCCAAAAGTGGAACAGACTAGGAGCAAGAATGAGAAATGTTCTCTGCCAAAAAAACACATAACCAAACCAAAATTACCATGAATGCAGCTTTCTGTACTCTTTCAGGTATAGCTGAAGAATGTCTTTTAATCTGAAAATATTAATCTAATTATTTAATAGAAAACATCCAATCCATATATTGGAGGAGATTTAAGAAGTTTTATAGATGATTTTCTAGTCCTTTTTTTAAATGAGTCTGCTGTAGTGGAATGAACAATTAACTATTCGTAAGTTATAATTTGCTGATAGATTTTAAGAGGCATCTTAGAGAAATACAAAAGACACAGGGAACTCGCAATGAAATTTTTGTGAAATATTTTGAGGAATGGAGACCACTTGGAAATACCAAGAATCTATTTGTCCTGACTGTTAAAGATATTTGAAAGTTCGGTCTCTGAATATTATCAGGGTGATGTTTAATTATTCTGTCTGCTCTTCTACTACCCCTAGTGTAGCTTTCACAGAGCCTGAAAAGGGAAGACAAGGAGGCATGCCTACAGCTTTTCCTAGACAGCCTCTAGCTGACTCCATCATGCTATCATCCATGCTATCAGAATCAAAGGTGCCAAGTCAAAATCAAGACTCTTGTGACATTCCCAAAGTAAATCAGGCTTGTGGGGCAACAGTTAGTTTACGGCCATATGACATGATAGGAGGAAGCCTCAGGATGCCGCACAACAGGAAAGTGCTGAGACGCAGCAGCAGCATCATTGGAGGATCTGCAGGCATTGAGATGCTGTTTGAAAAGAAGGCAGCTGCAGCCAGCTTGAAATGCCTGGACATCACCCGAAGAGACGAATCCAAATTGGAGAGAAGGGTAGAACTCCCCCTGGGCAAAAAGCTGTCAAAAAGTTATTCCCAGAGTTGTGTGTACGTCAGCACTGATAAAAAGGACAAGAGGTGTTTGAGCACAGGTGGCAGTCAGAAGGACTCCAAGCACTGTCGAACGTTGCCCTTGTGGAAGCTGGACACCAGCACCTGGAGGTGTCGTGGCCCCTTTAGCTATTGTTTCCTAAGCAGAGGAAACGATGACAATGATGATGAAGATGGAGACAGCCGTCAGCTCTCATGTCTCTTCGAACCGCAGATCTCGTGTGAGCTAGCAGAACCAGTTGGTCAGTCATTTTCCAGTGAAAATGAGCAGAAGATTTTGGAGTCCCCAAAAGGTGCTGAGCCCCCACAAGATGAGGCAGTCAACATGCATGAGAAGGGTAGTGCTGACATCCAAGGTGGACGAATTGATGTGAATCTCAATGATGTGGCCTTCGATGCACGAATCACGCGAATAAACGTGATGAAAGAGAAGACGTATGCAATGCCGGATGGATTTATTGCAGCACAAAAGGATGCCAATGAGCTACTCTCACTGGTCCGAGCAAGTATGGGCAAGAGAGAAGATTTACACCCAGAAACATATGACCTTAAACTTTCTAAGTACAAACAACTGTTATCTATGGAATCGAGACAGTTGGGAAGTGCCTGCAGGAAAATGGCCATGGCTGATAAAAGCCCTGAGGAAATGCTTTTAGCTATGACTTCCAGCTTTCAAGTACTCTGTTGCTTAACAGAAGCCTGCATGCGTTTAGTTAAAGTCATGAACTCTGAAACACAGCAGCAGGAAATTATAGCTAAGATAGACGAGGTTGTAATAAACTACATTTGTCTTCTGAAGGCTGCAGAAGCAGTGTCAGGCAAGACCTCCAGTGATCCTAGCATTAAACTCTTGGCTCGACATTCAACTACCATGGCCGCTATTGTAAGCACACTAACACGTTCTCTTAAAATGCTTTTAAACAAATAAAATACAAAAGTCACTTCATAATCTACCTTTGCAAAGCCATACATAAAAAACTTTTATTTACTGTATGTGTATGAACTAATGTAACAAACTCAGCTTTCTCTGTATATTTTGTTATTTTATATAAAATAGGTATGAGATTTAAAAAAAAAAGTTAAAATACTGAACACTGACAAAAGTAATGACTAGATTTGTCCTTCCGTTTATATAAAAACAAAAGCCAAAAAAACCTTCTCCCCAAGACTAGAAAACCGAACAGAAAAAATCCCATATAGGAGCAAATTGATGTTTGGCTATTTTTCATATAGTCAAATCCATGGTTGTATGAAGTGAACTTTTAAAGCCTGTTATGTCAATTAAGTTGTTTTCTGTTTCATCCAAGTTTTCACTTGGAGAATGCTCCATGTTTAGAAATGAGAATTTAAATCATAATGTATATAACACAATATTTACTGTTTTAAAATTATAATTTTTAAGCACTGAAAATAGCAAAAAGACATTTAAAATCCAAGAGACTATTATAACTTACTAGAGAATATATATATAATAAATGACTCTTTTGTTCATATGGCCTGAATTACCTGATTTTTCTTTTCTAGGAAGTTCTGTATTAAAAAAAAGAAGTATTGAAAATAATACCAAGTTCAGAGGGTATCTGATGCATTGAACATTACAGTGCTGCATTTCAGATAGGTAGTGAAGGTAACTGTGGAAGACTGAGGACACAGAAACCAGAGTGTCGTTGTTCTCCCTGAAATGAAAGGCTGATGCCATACTGGTCAGACCAGAATGTGTAGGGCAGGTCTGCATACTCCTTTCCCTGGTAAATGAGAGAGAGGACCATCAGGAAATTCCTATGCTATTTACTGTTCCATCGTGTAGCTATTGTGCATCTGAACAACATGAACTGCATCTATTTTGTTAAAATTTTATACTTCATATTTTATGATTCTGAATGTTTAACTGTAAATAAGTTAGAAATAAAATGAAGTTTTCAGAATACAGTAAACATCTCTGAAATATTTCCAGACAGAGACAGTACTTCTCTAAGTGATGACAAAGGCAATTTGTGAATAATCTCTCCAATCTGAACCTTTCTGGAAAACATTTTGTAGTCTTGCCTTTGAGAGACAGCCAAAGCAAAAGCTCTTGGTGTCACCTGACAAAGAGGCTTTCACCAGAGCATCTGTTAAACTTTTCAGTCACTGAGGAGCAACAGCCCTTGTGAAAAGTGCAGAATACCATTCCCCAGGCTGGTGTAGGTAATTTTCATCTGTTTCTCATAATGTCATGTGCAAAGAGTAGAACGGCTCTGTTTTCAAAACTTACCCATTCAGATGAAGCATGTGTGCAGCCTTCTCTGCTGAACTAAAAAGACTAAACCAACAAAATTAAGTTTTTGCCAAGGAAATATTTTCTTGCATAGAGTGATGCGCTTCACTATGAAACCAAGACATGGTTCTTCCTCCGACTGCAGAGAAGCAGCTCCAGAAATACAGTATCAGAAACTTATTCTGTGGTCTGTAGGAGAAAAATCTGGTTTCCTAGACTGACTCACTTAGCACGCGGACCCACTCTTGAGGGCAGCTCAGAGGCAGGCTGCAGGCTGAATTACCTTGGTGACGGGTGCTCGTACTCGGTGCTGTCATTCTGGCCACCCTGGGAGTGAGGCTGTGTGTGCTGCTCTTTTGCTGCAAGTACCAGTGAAATCCTTTCTGTGGTTTCTGAGTATTTCATACTGGAGAAAAAACATGCTGAATTATTGCATTGGTACCTATTCCTTCACTGCTTTGTGAGTTTGTGTAAAAAATCTCATCAGTGATTCAGAAATACTGTTTCAAAAATAGATTTAGGATTGTCACAACTAGACATCAACACAGATTACAGGGATGTGACACTTTCACGGTTGCTAGTCCAGTCCTTTCCTTTCCACTCCATTTCATAAATTGATGTAATTTTATTCCAAAGGTAAGTAGATTTTTGTTGTCCTTACTGTTTAAGAACTTTTCTGATTGTAAACCTGCTCATTTGCTCTCTAAAATTAACTGTGGTCTTTTTTTTGTGGCAGTATTTTTTTAGGTTTAACTGGAGGGTTTTTTTCCTCTCCTTTTTAATGCATTTTCATAGAATCATAGAATAATTTGGATTGCAAGGGACATTTGGAGTTCATCTAGTGCAACCCCTGCTCAAAGCAGGTCTAGTCAGATCAGGTGCCTCAGGGTCCTTTCAAATTGAGTATTGGACATCCTCCAAGGATGGAGTTTCCACAACCTCTCTGGGCACCTGATTTGACAATCCTTGTGGTTAAAAAGATAAAAATTCTCTACATCTAATCAGAATTTTCCATGTTCAAACAATATCCATCGCCTTTTGTCATATAACTGTGCACCCTTTAGAAGAGTCAGGCTCTGTCTTCTCTGGTATCCTTCAGGTAGCTGTAGGCTGCCATGAAGTCTCCCCTGAGCCTTCTCTCCTCCAGGCTGACTAAACCCAGTTCCTTCAGCCTTTCATCGTATATTGTGTGCTCCAGCCCCTGACCAGCATGGTGACCCTCCACTGGACTCGATAGTGTGACTTTATAAGCTGCCACCATGTTCCTGTCTCAGTTTTGATGGATAGGATCATCTAGCCAAGCTCTCCAAGTCGCCTCTTAAAAGGCAGCTTCTCTTTCCCCCGGGATTTCAGATATCCCTGTCCAATACCACACGAATGTCTTTTTCCTAATCTTTCCGCACAGACTTATATGCAGGCTTTTAAATGCTGCCTTATGAGGATTTTGTACAATGGAACAGCTGCTGGAAATAATTTGTCTGCAGACTCCTAGAATCACATGTATTCACAGGCATATTAGGTTGGTGGCTCATACTCATCCTTTGTCAGTATTTTGATCCTTGTTCTGCTTGTCTTGCCCAGCTAAGGGTGATAATAGAGATTAACTGTTAGTAATTCTAAAGCATATGACGTTGCACATCAGTTGCTACTGAATTATAACCTATTTCTGTGAAACTTAAGCGTTAATGTGTCCTTGTCTTCCTGTGTGGTATCCTAATTAATTCCTGTATTAAGTGTATGTCTCAACTTCATGTCATCAACAAATGTCATCAGTATGTACCTACTTCTTGCACTAAGTCAGTAAAGAAATGATAAGTAAGATACTTTCATCTGGAATGTACTATACTTTTAGAGATTTTTATATATACACTGTATGTTTAGTGATTTTTTAACTTGACAAAATGACAGGCATCTTCATTTTAAGTCCCTGAGTTGAGGCTATTTTCTAAACTATTTGGCAAAGTTTGCCATTTTGAAATTAAGAAACAATGCTGCATACCTACATTTATTTGCCTTGTCTTTAATTGAACCTCCATCAGTTCATAATCACTGGAAGATGCAGAATGCTCCATGATGTTCTCACTGCTCACCAGAGATGTGAAATACTCTTATACTAGCACGTTCTTTGAAGCTGAGAAATGGGCTCCTGAGTAATTTTGTCACTTACTTACACAATTTATGTCTAAGAGAGACCCTATGACTGCACTGAAATCCAATTAAAGTTAGTAGTATTTTATCAGGGATTAATTTGGCTCAATAGGATATAACCTTAGCATTGTAGCAGCATACGTTAAAAGCCTCATTGCACTAAGCACTAAACTGGTACACAATGAAAACTTGGTTCATGTCACAGGTAGCTTATTGCTGAGCATGTGGCACTAACATTAACCAGGCTTCATAATTTACCACTCAAAGTTGAGGAGTAGCTGTTCTGCACAAAGAGAAAGTGAGCACAATCTTCCACTGTGCTACCTGTGGAACAGCCCTACCATGTTTTCAGACCTAGATTTGGCCAAAGCAATAGAGAGCATGAGGCACTCACCATTAAAAAATTAAAATAAAATAAAATAAAATAAAA